AACAATCGGCACTGGAATTTATGGACTACAAACTACAGATACAGTCTTATATCTGAAATCAGACTTATTTATTTTAGTTGGGCAAAATAAGCAAGCATTGTGGGGCAGGGGTTGTGGCTCAGCGGTAGAGCACTCACCTAGCATGTGCGAGGCCCTGGGTTCAATCCTCAGATCCACAGAAAATAAATAAAATAAAGGTATTGTGTCCAACTACAACTAAAAAACAAATATTAAATGAATATATATACATATATGTGTGTGTGTGTGTGTGTGTGCGCGTGCGTATAAGCAAGCATTGTGATTCATGAAAATGAACTGCTTGTACTGTTTTTTTTTTTTAATCTGAGCAGACATGCCTGGGCCTATAGTTTACAAAGACCTAATAATGTAGAACAAAAATCCTAATTCATGAAACACATACAAGAAGTTAAAATGTACACAGAGAAAATSGCTATAGAAATTTGGTTTTAAGGTCTCCTTCAAAGACAGTTCCAGCACAAGTTTTAGCTCTTTGGAGGTCTCTAAGGTGCCAAAATGGTGTACATAACATACTTAAGTACTTATTGGAATAAACTGGAGCCCAGTTTTCCTACAGCTCAGAGAAGCCTTTGGAAAACGGATCTCCCCAGAAAACTGGGACCCAGTGAGACTGAACTCACTCCTACAAGTGGATTGTGTGGTGGTTTTCAAACTGTGAAGTTTGAGTCTCCCCAACATGGGGCCAGGTCTTGTATTTCCTTGTGTTAAGATCACGAGAACAGAGCTGGTGGAGCTGCTCTGACGCACGTGAGCTGGTGAGGGACGGAGGCCCAGAGAAGTTCCACAGGCGGCCACTACGCCACCAGGCCTCTCCCCACAGCCCCAGGACCCCCGCCCTCCGTGATCTCAGTGGACTACTCYGACTGGTGGCCACGCTGTGCTTGGCCCTGCTCACAGTCCCACATTTCTTCCCTGAAAGCAGCTTGCCTTTCCTCCCTCCCTCCCTTCTTCCCTCTCTTCCTCTCTGTTTCCCTGGCCCCAGGCTTTCACAGCGGATCCGCGGGCTGGCTGGCTTCTGCTCCCCAGCCCTGCTGCCCTTGACCCTGTGGGAAGCAGACCCTGAGGAGAAGTAGCCCACTGTGCCCTGAGAGTGCCAAGGGCTGTGCCATGGAGAGCAGGCAGGACCCTGGGCCTTCACACCCTAGGCAGGGCGCCATTTCTGGTCCCAYGACATCTTCTACTGTCTGGAGACAGTCGAGAGGAGTGGACACTTCCCTCCACCACACTCGACACACCCTCTGACGGAGGCGACTACTGTGAGACCTGCGGGACCGCAGCTCGGGGGTCCTGCGTCCCAGACGGCTCTGCTCCGAGCGCCACCCTGGATCTGGCTTCTGCCCACTCTCCACCTCCCCGGAAGAAGGGCCAAGAGCCCGCGGCCTCACTTGCCTGCCCTTGGTCCTGCTGCCTCTGGTGGACGCGCACAGGCCTCAGATCTGTGGTGTCTTTCCTCTTTCCCCCCCTGCCTGGGAGGGTTGCAAATCGTCTCTGCCTCTTGGATGCTTCTAGGTGAGCTGCACCCCTGCGTGTCCCSGTTCACACTGTTAATCACAACCTGGCGCCCTGAGGCCCTCTGAAGTGCTTGTCGGTTTGCTCCCGGTGGCATCTGCCAGGCCTGGCTGGTGGGGAGAGGCGGGTCCGCTGTGCAAGTGGGGGACTTGGAAATGTGTTTTCTGAGCTCCTTCAGCTCTCAGCCAAGAGCTCCCAGGTGGTGGCTTTGCAGACAAATTTCCCATCCGGGACCACTTCGTRCGTAGAGAGCAACAAGCCAAAGCTCACAATGAAGACGCCCAACAAGTCAGCTCTTTCACACTCGGGCAGAAAGTCTCGTAGGGGACAAAGTCAAAAGAATAGAAAGGCTTGCTTCTCACACGGAAATTCTTAATTAACTTTCTTGGCCGCATAGGATCAGTGGCCTGTGTGGGGATTAATTGACAGACTTAGTGGCTGCRGCTCAGTAAGACTGTGAAATGRAGGCCGGGGAGGCCCGGGAGGCTGCATCCCACCCGACTCCAGCCATCACTTAATAGATAACGCTCCACATCCTGGGTTTATGCATGCCTTGTCTCCACTCTGATCTTTCCTAAAAGCAGGCAGGGTATAAATTAGAAATGAATTTGTAAATAAAATATCTGGTCAACACAGGACAAGTCTCATTGGCAGGGGAAATACTGCAATGGAAGGTGGTTGAATCTTTTGCCCTCCTTGATGGGGCAGCTAAAAATTAAAAATAAAGGTACAGAGATCCTTGAAATTTCAAGCCAAGCTCTTGGGAAGGCCAAAAAGAGTAAGACACCTTTGTCCCTTTCCTACCTCTAGTACCTAGGTGGAGGCCCAATGAGCATCGGTAAGGGGTCCTGGTCAGACAGGTGGGAAGCTGCAGTTTTGGCCCTAACTTCTGTTTGTCACTAGGTGGCAGTAAGAAAGCCTTCTCTGATCCTCAGTTTCCCCTAGAGATCCCTAGAGGCGGGATGGGATGTGGATGGTGGGTGGCAGGAGCTGGAGGAGGGTACAGGGAGCATTCTTGCTTAACAGGTAGAGAGTTTTAGTTTGGCAAGATGAAAAGATGGATAGTGGTTTTGCAATTAAGCAGATGGACTTCAATGAATTGTACACTTAGAGATGATTAAGATGGTAGTTTTGTTAACATTTTAAAAAATTTACTTTTAATTACATTTTAAAAATTCAAAAAAWTTTTTTAAAAAAATTCTCAAACCTCATTCACCTTGGTGACTGAATTGCCCATCGTGGCTCAATTACCTTCCATACGTCAGGGAAGGAAGACGGCGGAGATGGAAATGCTGAGACAGGGGTATGGAATACCAGGGTTTGGTGGCCACTCAATTCCCACATGAAGGAAATGAGATGCCCTGGGTTTCCGAGGCTCAGCACACATTGGGCCCTCAGAGTGGGGCTTGGTTGGGCCTTCAGTTAACCAGGCCCAAGACTGACCAGCTGCTCACTGCAGATGCCCCCTGGGGAGCAGCGGTGGGCAGGCTGGGGTCGTTTCCCTCCCGGTGGGTTGGTTTGGGTTGGTTGGTTTGCTTGCTGGCACGAGGCTCCTTTCTGCTTTGCCGCATTGTCTTTTCCTCGGTGGAGGCTGGTGTGGGTGCCACCCTGCGTGGCTGTCTGGCAGCTGCCCTCGGACCCTTTCATTTGCATCGTGGTCTCAAAGCAGCGGAAACTCGGGGCAGCCAGGTGGTCTGTGTTCTGTGGATGTTCCTTTCCGAGGTCAGAAGCACAGGCATCRCGTGGCAAGGTGAAAAGCACACCCTCTGACTCTGCTCACCATCAGATAAGAATGGGGGAGCTGTGGGCCTTCCAGACGGCTGTCTGGGGGACGTCTTCCCCTTGCTCATGCACTGTGCCCGGCTCCGGGGTGGTTAGGACTCCGCTTCCCTGTCCTTCTCCTCCACCAGGAGCAGGTCAGCTCTCGGAGTCCATCTTTGCATTTTGCGGTCAGTTTCCTGCTGTTGGCGGTGGGACAGAGCCAGCTGCGGCAGCCTCGGGCTAATGTCCGCAGGGCGCACCCTTCCGGGTTCCCAAGGCTTTGATTCTCTGCATTGCATGGTACACCCCCAGGTTTTTTGGATTTTTTTCAGATTTCCTAATCGTGGGCCAGACTTTCAGCTCCATCACTAACTGTGGAGCGGGGTGGGCTGATGCTGGCCCCCTCAGGCTCCTCAGACACCCCTCCAAGTCCAGCCTAGCCCCTGAGACATCAGAGGGGACTCTTCACAAACCCCACTGTGGCCACTACCCAGGTGCCTTCCAGACTTGTGATCCTCCCTTCTCGGTTGTTCTAGGCCGAGGTGCAGTGAAAGAATAAACAAATGTCTTTCATGGATGGGAACGGTGAGAGGTTAATCATCCGCCTAAGGGGTGCGTGATGACTCCCGAACAAGGGTCAGCATTTTCCATAAAGGACTGAAGAGCAAGTATTTTTAGTTTTGCAGCCAAAACAGCTCTGATGAATTTACTCAAGGCTGCTATTGTGAAAAAAAAAAGCAGCTACATTGTGTGCCCATGGGAATGGGTGTGGCTGGGTGCCAATACGATTTTATTTATGGACACCAATTTGAATTTCATATAATTTTCACAGATCACGAGATGATATTGATCATTTCTTCTCCTCCTCCTCCTCCTCCTCTTCCTCCTCCTCCTCCTTCCTCTATCATCTAAAGCTGTAAAAACCACTCATAGCTTGCAGACCACACCAGGGACAGGGAGCCAGGTTTGCCCACAGGCTGAGGTCCGCCAACCCCAGTCAGAGAAGAACCAGCTCCAGATGGTTCTCTGGTGTCCCCCGCGAGGAGTGTGAGGATCTTAACCGCCAGCCACGTCTGACTTCTGTTTCCTGAAGCCCGGGTGAGTACAGCGGGGTTTGGGGGGGCAGAAGCGCACAAATGGTGGCACTCCAGGCGGCCCTAAGTGTCTAACTGCTAAGCCCTGCTTCCTGATGTTCTCTGCAACAAAAATCTGGCATCAGAAACCAGAGCCCAGTGGCTGTGCTGCTTCAGCACCGTGGTGGCCCCGGATGCTTGGCGTGCCRGACTCTAGAAATAACCCCACCTATTTTTAACACCCTCGCCTAGTCAGAGGGTTTCCAGTTTCGTCCCCAACAATCCCCAGAGCCCAGAGATACAAGGTGGAACTCAGAACCTCCCAGCCGTTGTCGGTTTCCCCCTCATGCCCACCCCTCCTCCCAAATGTCCCCAGCATCCACCGAGACACGCCTTCCTTTCCCCTCCAGGTTCGGGGCCCCTGGGTTGTGACCAGGAATCCAAGCGATTGCTGTGCCAGGCGCCAGGAAAGAGTGAGTTTTCTGAGAGTTTTTATTTCAAACAACAGTCAGATTCTACCAGTCAGGGCTCCTGGAAGCCAAGGAGGGAGGTTCAGTTCACTGAAAAGGGTGTACCTTGTCACCAAGAAGGGGGGAGGCTGGCTTTTTACACAGGTGACTCCTAGACCTGGTAAATGGGCAGAGGGTGTCCTTGTCGGGTTTTTAAAGACAACTGGCCCAGCAGGACAACCTTGGTCTTTGCTGGACAGTTGGGTCCCTCCAAACACCCGTGCACCTGCTGGCCCTGTTCTCTCTGATCCTGGCCAGGGCTGGGCTCAYGTCCATTTGCTCTGTTCGCACAGAAGCTTGTCACAACCCAGAGACAAGTTCAGAGAGGGGACGCAGCCCGTGACAGTCACAGAAYGGGGCAGAGGGGAACAGGACAGAAGGAAACTCCCACCTCCTGTCTGGAAGGTTCTGGGCTGGGGCTCAGCTTTCCGAGGCCTAGTGCTCCGGCTCAGCATCCATGCAGGACTCCCAGGGGTTCTGGGGCATTCGAGGCAGGGAGAAGAGCAGGAGGGCGAGGCCGCCAAGGAAGAGCAGGACGAAGGCGGCACAGGCGCACGCAAAGGACCAGGAGTAGTAGTACTCGATCCAGACCGTGTCCTCACTGTCGATCATGCGCTTCACCGACTGCCGCATGACCTCCACTGAGACAAAGATGCAGAGCCCTGGGGACAGAACCGGGGCCTCTCAGCGTCCCAGGGCACTCCTGCTGCCACCCCAGCCTACTGCTTGGCGGGGAAGGCAGTGACCCTGCCCTGGGTGGGGAGGAACCTGCAAAAGTGACCCATCCGCCCGCCACCCTCTACCCTGCAATTCCGCCTCCCTGAGCAGGCTGGCCAGATGACCACTTTTCCTTCCTTCTTTTGCTAATGGCGCCCTGGGAAGTCTCCTCAGTGTCTTGAGGAGAGTGTCATTGTGAAAAATAGATGCAATAGCAAGAGCTTTCTCCCTGCCAACCCTCCTGGGGTCACTGAGACCCCCTCCAAGGTGCTCCTGCATGGAGCTGGGGAAGGGTCCCCCTCAAGCCCTGCGGTAGGCAGGAGCCAAGCGGGGCCRCGCCATGATTGGGACAGAGTGGTCCCACCAGGGCAAGGGCAGGAGCCCCGTGTACCTGCAAAGGCGTAGAACATGGACGCTGGCCTCAGCAGGTAGTCCCGCTTCTTCSGGAAGGACAGAAGTGCGCAGATGGTGCCCACGATGATGAAGCCCAGGCTGAAGATGGCGATGGCCGCCGCGGAGATGCTGTACTCTGTGAAACAGGGCAGCTCAGAACTGGGCTGCATCCCCAGTGCTCCGCCACTGCTGGCTGGACCTTTAGCCAGCTCGGTGACAGTTCTTGTTCCACGAGGGGAAGGGGTGTGGCCAGATGGTCACGGGACTTGTTCACCCCGTGTCTTTGCCGTGCACYAAATTACGGGGCTCTCCCCAGGATGGAGGCCCCCAAAGGAGGTCAGGAGGCACGTGGCCAGGAGGTACATGGCCAGAGGCTTTGTAGATGGAGCAGAAACCTCCTCTGAGTGACAGGCAGAAGGAGGCACTGAGGCGGGTGGTCTGTACAGGATGACGGAGTGACAGAGTGTGGGGTGGCCTAGCATGTGTGTGAGGGTATGGTGGGGTCACCTAGTGGTTAGTGTGAGGGTCTGTCAGTGTACGGTGTGTTCCAAGTGTGAGGATCTGTGTGTGTACATGTGAGTGTGCCCTGTGTTCGAGGATCCGTCAGTGTGTGTGTGTGTGTGTGTGTGTGAGTGTGTCCCGCGTGGGCATCTGTCATGTATGTCTGTGTGGGCATGCGCTCTCGCGGGCCTGCTGTGCCCAGAGCTCCATGGATCCAGTCCTGGGGGATCCCTTAGCGAGGGGGAGTCCCAGGGATTCCCACCGCACCCAGGGAACTTCCTGGGACTGTGGGCACTTGTCCTGTTTCCTGGGATCTTTTGGAACGTGTGTTCCTGCGGCAACCTAGAGCCTCCCAGGAACTGTCCCCAACTGTCCCCAGCTCTGACAAATGTGCTTGGGCCCCTGGATAGGGACACTGCACTTGCAGTTCCCTGGCATGGGAGGCGGCAAGGCTGCCGTTCAAACACGCCAGGCCAGGGCTGCTTCTCATCAGATGACATCCTGGCTCAGCCGCCTGTGACACAGTGTCCCCCCTGCCCCGCCCCGGCTTCCCAGGCCTCACCCTTCTGAGTGGTGAATTCRAAGATCTCTGAGCTCTCACCGGGGTTGAAATGCCTGAAGTAGGAACAGTTCTTCTCTGCAAAGGAGGAAGACGCTCGTGAGTTGGGAGGAAAGACCAGTAGCAATTGGAAGCCTGGCTGAGAGAAGGTGGCGTCATTCTGCTGGGTCAAAATTTGTTCCYCCGACCCTTAGAACACCCTTTCCGCAGGACAATGGGGTTGCATAAGCAGCCTCAGGAAGCAAAGGCCAAAGGAGTGGACGGGACAGGGAGCGTGTGCTGCTGAGCCTCATCAGGCCCACAGGCTGGGGCCCGGGTCTGTCATTCATCGGGGAACAGGGCACAGGACCAACCAGCCGTTCTCAGCCAAGCAGCGCCTCACCCTGGGGACACTGGGCAAGGCCTGGAGACACTGTGGTGTGGAGAGGGGGCTCTTGGCATCTGGAAGCCAGGGGATGCTGCAGGACACCCCACAATGCAGAGGACAGACCCCCCAAACCTAGAATTATCCAGCCCCAAATGTCAATAGCCAAGAAACCTTGTATTCACCCAAATGTGGGTTTCTTATCAGAATCCAGGCCCACCCAGATTCACAGGGGTACCTGGGAAGCAGGCTTTTCAAAAGCTTTCCAGGAGATTCTGATGCTCAGCCAAGTTGGGGACCCCTGTTCTGGCCTTTAAAAATTCTAGCAGAGGGTTTTTTCTGAGTGACTGTCAGGATGAACTTGGASCCAGGCAGGAACGTGAGAGCTGAGTGTGACCTTCATGCCATTTCCTTAGACCTTCAGGAACCGTGCTTGTGTGGCAGGCCAGACAAAACCTGTCCTGGCAAGCTACTTGCTCTACCTGAGCATTGTCTTAAAAGCCACAGAAGGTCTGTGGACACCCAAAATCTGCATCTGATAGGGAGGCAGGACGAGGGGTTCGGCACAAAGAAATTCTTGCTGATTTGAACTATAGTTTCACTTTTATTTTTCTCTTTTAGTCTCTCTTCTCTCCTAACTAGATACGGCATGAAGTAGAGCCCTCTTGCTTACCTTTACTTCAGATTTAGGGAGTAGACAAATGAGTTATTTTGTATTAGTTTATAATTCTTAAAAAAAAAACTCAATTAGGTTGCATTTTATTTGTGTGAGGCCCTTCACTGAACGTTGCCTCTGTCCTTGGTTTAAATGGCATCTACTTTATGAATTCACGGCTTCACCTCCAGGCTACATTGGGTTGGTCACAAGGAGACGGATGCTCTTTCTTCTAGGAATGTGACCCAGGAGCTGCCAAAGGCATGGCTTGACTGCCACCTAATCCTGTGTCCTCCTACCCGTTTCCTGTCCTCCAAAGTCAGGGTTGCAGCCTCTCCTGAGGTCGAGGAAGGAGGCGACACCCGGGGATGGGGTCTGGTTTAGCAGCGGTAGATGTTCCTGGCAGTAAACAGCCTTTCTCCACCAGCTTCTATATTTAAGTCATTTTCCTTTTGAACGAGTTACCTGGGGTTCCTCGCGGCCAGCCACGAGGTCAGAATCAGTGCTGCTCCTTTCTCCCTCACAGCRTCGCTGCTATTTCAGGGCATAATGCAAACCTCTGACATTTTTCAGATTATAAGCTATAGATTTTCTGGAATTGCTGCTTCAAAATGGCTCATGCTATGTCACCAGTCTCCCTGGGTCTCCCTCCGGACAAAAGGAACCTTTCTTTTTTTTTTTTTGTCTCTTAAGAGCCCATTTCAGTTGTCATGAAAAACACCCCGGGGAGGATTGACTGGATTCAAGTGTTTCACGGTCAGCTGCCTCCTGGGCCACTCTCTCTCCAMCGGCCACTCTCTCTCCACGCGTGGGGGTGGCGAGCTGAAGGCCRCCTCCAGAGTCTGGCTGCACGTAGCTGTTTGGTCCTTCTGGGTTTCTGAGGTGACTTTCCCAGGAAGCATTCAGGTGCCAACCCCACAGGTAAACCCCAGGTCCACTCGGGGTGGACGGGGACCATGGCATGAGTAGGATGTAAAGGAAGCCGTGCAGTCGGGGCTGGGCCTGTCTGCAGGCGCCAGGCGGTGAGCGCTATGTCTTCCTCGGGTGGTCCAGGCCCACCGCTCTCCTCTCCCTCTTCTCCTCTACTAAATGCCCTCACAGCGGGTGGAGGGAACAGGGTGCCCAGCGGGTGGGATCCCCTCTTCTGGAAGCCTCAGCTTCTCTCTGATGGGTCTGCACTGTGGGCCCAAGGGTGGACGGGATGATCCACCTCCTCCCCTGGACTTGGCCCATGAAGAAGGCCAGTGKCCTCTACCCTGGACCTGGGAGGAGCATTCCCTGCAGGACTGTGTGGCTGCCTGTGGGGGACCACAGGCCCCTCCATGGTCCCTGACGGCCYCCAGAGCTGGAGTGGACACACTGGACCCAGGCCTTAATTGGGACAAGCCAAGTCAGGCAGCTGCCAGTGTCACTCAAGAAGGGCCCAGGGTGCTGTCRGGTGGCAGCCCCACCTGTGCCCCTTGGTCCGGGTGGGTGGTATTTGGGAAACTGCATATCGAGGACACCTTGAAAAGGAGGGACATCCAAAGAGGCTGTGAGTAGCTCACTGGGTCGAGGTAAGGAGTTGGGGGAAAGGGACAGGGACAGTCTGGCACAGACAGCAGATTCCGAGCTTTCCTGCCCACCTTTCTCTCCACCCCACCTCAACTTCCATCACTCCTGAGCACAGCTCGGGCCTCCACAGAMGCAGGTGCTTCTGATCAAGTGGGCCTCGAGCCCAGAGGCCAAGAGGAGGATCCGGGAAGAGTTAGGATTTCTGAGGTTCCTCCCGTCTCCTTTCTCTCCATAAATGGCTTATGGTGATCTTAACATTTCTCTTTCTGTAAGACTGAGTGGTTGAGAGATGTGAAGTGGATGAGTGCTCAAAGAAGACAACGAACTCAGTGGTCAGTCTCCACTGGGGGCTGGCGGGGGCCGGCTAACCACGTATTCTGGCTCAGGGAGTCACAGGAGGTACAGAACCCCAGCTGGCGTGCCAACCTCAAAGGACCAGAGCAGGGGGCACGYTGACCCCGAGGTGAACTCGAGTAACGGGGTGATCTGGACGATCACCGAGAATGGACTCGGGCAGCGGGTGCCGGTTAATGGAGAATTTAATATACTCAGGATAATTTGTGGGTGTGAGAAAAACCAGAGGGAGCTGGTGCCTCAGGGATGGGGAAGGAAGTTCCTCCCAGTGTCATTCATCCTTTTTGTAAGGGACGTTCCCATCACTGGTCTCTCAGTGCTGTGTCTCCTCTCACCTCCCCTGAAGAATTTTATAAAATAGACTGGAGAAATCCCGGGACCCGAGTCCCCGAKTTTCAGAGCACTGCTCTTTGACAGATAAAGTCTAGTTACGGTCTCAGCCTCCAGCCAGGGCTCATGTGGATGGTGAAGGGAGCCCCTGAAATTYCTCAGGGTCAGTGCATGTGCTTTCATGAGGCCCCAGTATCTGCACTGAGTCTGGAGGAGAAGATGGGCCGTGAGGGTCCTGGGGCCCTGGAGCAGCTGCTGTCTTTCCCCAAGGAAACAGAGCCTGGAAGAAGCCAGAGCAGCGGATGGTGTCTCTGGGGACTCACTTGGGCCTCCAGACACCTAATCTCTTCTGACCACTGGGGAAGCCTCTGCTATCATTATGAAGACATTTGAATTGACCTCAGATGTTGATCTAGTACACAGTACTCCTTCTGAGGCTCTTTAGGGGCAGTGGAAAAATCAGATAGTTCCTGTACTCAGAGCCTAGAACATTCTACAGCTGAATGGGGCCTGGAGAAATCTCCTTCTTATACTAGACTAACTGCCCCCAAACCATGGCATGTCATAAGCTGAACTCCTCATGGTCACTTGGGCCAGCAGCATTTAGTGGAGGATGTGGGGGCGGGTGTGTCTGGAGAGCAAGGAGGCTCTGGATTCACGAAGTGAAGGTTGAACTTCAGCCTGTCAGAGGGTTAGGCTGGGAAGGGCATGCTCAGCCTCAGTGCTTCTCCCTGTAGAATGAAAAACACCTATAGGATGAGCACCTGCCTGCTGGTTTGTTGAACTTAGTATAATGTCTTGACTAAGAAGGTAAAGGTTAGGGACAGGGCCTGGGTGTGAATACAAGATGCCGCACTCAGTAACTGAGTGAACTTGCTCAACTAGGTGTGCCTCATRTTCTGTAAGATGAAATGACAATAATGTGGTGGATCTCATGGAGGTTTCTGGGAGAAATCAGATGAGCTAATATATGTATGCCAGTYCATCGCTTTCTGGTCTCTATCTGCTTTTGAGGAAAATCAACTGTCTATCTTATTAAGGATCCCTTGGGTGTGATGTGTTGTCTCTGTTTTCAAGATTCTGTCTTTATCTTTTTTTAAGTATTTTTTTAGTTGTAGATGAACACAATACCTCTATCTATCTATCTATCTATCTATCTATCTATCTATATCTATCTATCTATCTATCTATTTATGTGGTGATGAGGATTGAATCCAGGGCCTCACACATTGCTAGGCAAGCACTCTACCACTGAGCCACAACCCCAGCCCCTTTGTCTTTATCTTTCAAAAGCTTGATTATGGGCTGACTAGGTATAGATCTATTTGAGTTTACATTTCTCAGGCTTCATAGAGCTATATGGATTTATAAAATAATATTTCATTCAATTTGGGGAGTGCTAGCCATTATTTTTTCATAATCATTTCTGTTCCATTCCCTTTTTCTCTCTCTTCCTTTCCTTCTGGAACTTTCAGAATGCACATGTTGGTATCTTAGATGGTGTTCCACAGCTCTCTGAGGCTCTATTCATTATGCTTCATTCATTTTTTTTCTCTTTGTTCCTTACATTTGCTAATCTTGGTTGATCCATTTTTAAGTTCACTATTTTTTTTTCATTTCTCTGCTCAGATCTCTTACTGATTCTCTATAATCAATTTTTTAAGATTTCAGTTGTTACATTTTTTAACTCCAGGATTTCTGTTTGGACCTTTGAAAATAATATTTATCTCTTTACTGATATTCTCTATTTCATGAGACACCATTCTCATTTTTAGTTTTTTAGATATGGAGTCTTTTAATTCTTTAAATGCATTTAAATAGCTGATTTGCAGTCTTTGTCCAGTAAGTCCAATATCTGGGCTTCCTTAGAGATCCRTTTACTCATTCCTGCTCCCTGACCCCACAAACAGTCCGTAACATTTTAGTTACTTGTGTGGCTTGTGCTTTTTTTGGTTTGAAGAATTGAAACTAGAAGTGCTTAACCTCTGAGGTACATCCACAACCCTTCAATTTTCTTTCTTTCTTTTCTTTTCTTTCTTTTTTTTTTTTTTTTTTGAGACAGGGTCTAGATAAGTTGCATGGGGCCTTGCTAAGTTGCCGAGGCTGGCTTTGAACTTGCGATGCTCTTCCTCAGCCTCCTGAGCTGCTGTGATTATAGGTATGTGCCACTGCATCCGCTATGTCTTGTGTTTTTTAAGTAATATGATGAGGCAACACTGGAAATCAGATTCTTGTTCTTGAGGGTTTGTTTCTGTTGTTGTTTGTTGTTGCTTATATAGTGACTGCTCTGAACTAATTTTGTGAAGTATGTATTCTTAGTCATGTGTGACTCCTGAAATCTCTATTCCATTAGCTTAGTAGCTGGTCAACAGAGATTTCCTAAAATGCTTAGAACAAGTGCGTCACCCTCTCTACTGAGGGGCTCTGCACATTTGAGGCATGGCTTAAACACTTAGAGAAGCAGCCTACATCTCTGCYTTGGTCTTCACTTTGTACTTGTACAGAACCTCAAGATAAGGCAGAGGTGAGAATTCAGGGCCTTTGCAGATCTTTCCTGAGCATACACACAGCACTGTACATGGCCTTCTAGATTATTAGGACTATGCTGCAGTTCTTCAAAGCTACCTCTGAACATCTCATTCTCCAGTTCTTTGCATAGCCTACCACATGGCCCAACTGTTATCTGCAGCTCAGGCAGCCATGATATTAACCTATCATCTCTAATTGTTTTCAACAAATGCCCTTGAGAAATTGACTATTTGCACTGGATGAGCTCAGAGTTGGGCCACRTAATGATAGCTTTGCAAGTGAAGACTTCTAGGGAATGACCACATAGGTCAGATAATGACAGTTATCTAGGAAAAGGGTTTTGAAAGAGATTCAATCCTTTCTTGTCCCCTGTAAGTGGCTACCAGGCTGCTGATTTTCACTGTGATGGTGAGATGTTGATTTTCAAAGCTGCAACAGAGATGGGGGAAGAGGAATGGGAAATATATTTTAAATAACTGATTATTGTTCAGTAAGTCCAATATCTGGGCTTTCTTAGGATCTATGGCTGTATTCTGTCCCCTCTCCCATAGACAGGCAATACTATTTAAATTCCTTGTTAAAGTAAAAATACCACAAAACTTACTCTTCATCCTAAGAGTCACCCATTTTCTTGAACAAGCAATTCTAGATTGCTACAAGATTTGGTAGATTGCCATAATTCTGAAAACATTGATTTGACTTTTTTTAAAAAAAAAAAAAACTGTTTTGTCTTTCTTTTATGGAGAAGAAGATTTGAGGGGAGGTGGTTCTTATKCTGTCATTTTTTCCCCTGATGTCACCCCAAATTAATATACATAAAGCACCTACAACTATGTTTGGCACATAGTGCTACATTTGTGTGGCATTATTGTAATTATTATTGATAATAAAAGAACATATGCATACAACCCCCACCTAGAAAAGAGTGGTTCCAGAGCATAGGAAGGACAGATGGAAAAATAAAGGAATTTCCATTTGCAGAGAAAAACAGGAAAATGGCAGGAACATGCTTTGGAAGATTATTGGGGGGAGGTGGTGCTCATTGTCACAAATGTGGGAAACATGATTCATGGCAAAGAGATGGACCGCTCAGGCTCAAGGCCAAGYGATGCCTGCTGGTCCCCTGAGGCTGGTCCTCTAGCCAGTCTGTCTCTGCCCTGCAGGGACCTTGCTCACTCGTTTGCTCATCTGCTCTGACTTTAAAAGGCAGCTGCCTCCAAGGACAGGTGGACAGGACCACAATGTGTGTTCCCATGTGTGGTCCCTGGAGAAGCAGCCTCACCCTGCCYTGCCCTGTCCAGGGAGCTGGCTAGATGATGCATCTGTTTACCAGCGTGCAGCAGTGGCCAAGGGACGTGGGCGTCTGGGCTATGTGATACCYTTCAAGCACATGCCCACGCCTATCAAAGCCCTTAGCCCTGGGACTCAGCGTTTCCAAGACAGCTGGGTATTTACGAGTCTCTGGGTGCTCAGCAGAGATGAGCAAGGSTGGGGCTCCCTCAAGCAAGCAGAGGGGAAGAAGAAGAAGGCCAGGAGTGGGAGGTGGGGTTTGGGCTCTTTGCCCCACACCCAGTCTGCAAGATCATTGGGGTCTCAGCGCCAATTCCCTTGAAGCAGGGGTTTCAGGAATACGTGGTCAGGTCATAGAATAATTCTGAGCATCAGGAGGAACGTCACACATACCCTGGTCCACTGCCACCTTGGAGACACATTCATAAGTGTGTCTCCAAGTGGCTCTTATGTTGCTGAGCCCAAGTCCTGTATTTTATAGAGGAGGAACCAGAGGCTGAGAAGGACCTCATCCTCCCTGAATAGTCATTCTGGAGGTGGTGAGCAGTGGTGGCTACAGCCCAAGCCCCCTTCCCCGTGCAGTACTTTTTCCTCGAACAAGTGCTCTGATTACTATGAATCCTGAGAACTCCATGTTTGCGGAATCTCTATTCTGCAAAGAGATCAGTTCATGTGAATACCACATATTCCCTACCCCACTGCCCCGCCCTCGGCCCCAGTACAGGGATTGAATCTGTATCAGGGGTTCTTTACTACAGAGCTACATCCCCTGCCCTTTCAACCTTTTAGTTTGAGACAAGGTCTTGCTAAGTTGCTGAGGCTGGCCCTAAACTTGTGATCCTCTTTGCCTCACCTACTGAAGTCCGAGTTGCGGGGTTAGAGGCATACACCACTCTACCTGCCTCTGAATACCAGGTATTCTTGACCAGGAATTTACCTGCGGCACGGCTGGGTCACATGGTAGGAAATGGAGGAGTACTCTTAAACTCTAGCACAAGGAAATGCTGCGTGCTTCTGAAGGGTCTGACTGGAGGGAGATGTACAGAAGGACCCCGGGTTCTGACAAGCAGGTGGCTCATGCCCGACCACATCCTGCTTCAGAGACCTGCACCCTGGCTCTGCTCACAGAAGGGCCTGTGCTTGGTTCCATGCTCAACTTGAAATTCTCCATAATTAGGAATAAGACACTCGGTGTTTTCATTCTGCATGGGCCCCCACAAGTTCTGTGGCTCTCCTATCTACACTCCTGCCTGGAAGCCAAGCAATGAACCCACCAGTCCCCTGGGTCCCTCCAGCCTGAGAACATAGAGCCACCTGCCTGTCATGGAAAAGAGAGAATGGAGCTGGGACACCAATGGGTGACCGCTGCTGGGGTCAGAAGCCCCGGGGCTGGTAGACCTGTTCAGGGGCCTCTTGTCCCACCTGGCCTGCTTTCTGCTCTGGATGAAAAGCCCCAAGCCTCAGCCAGACGGAAGAAGCTGGAGACAAATACCCTCATTTGTCAACCTGGCGGCAGCCACTGGTACRGGTGCCACAGGCAGATCCAACCTTCTTAGGAAGGGCCTGGTGGCTGCTCTGACCCCGGGCAGAGAAACCAGCCTTCCTTCCCATGGGTGACTCATCAGGGGAATGGGAAGAGCCGGAGGGGAGAGCGGGTTGGAGAGTGGGTACGTTACCCCCAGGCAGGGTGATGGCGCCACAGTTCTTGTCCTCAATGTCGTCCACAGGAACGCGCGTGGTGCAAATCCTCCAGAGGCCGAAGTGGGCTGCCTCGCAGGTGGCATTGTTGTGCTCCATGTGGGGGCTCAGCACGGCCCAGTAGTCCGTCACCACGGCCACCATGGCCAGCACAATGCCCACCAGGATGCAAAAGAGGGCCACACGAACCTTCAGGGCTTGGGTCTGGGACATGGTRGTCACCAAGGTGTGGGTGCCTGGGGCAGGGGGCAGCAGTATCTCCCAGGGTATGTGGCTGCCCCGCTAGCGTGGCGGCAGTGGTTATCAGGCCAGGGGTGGGAGCTAACTTTAGTGTGCCTGACTGAGCCAGAGTGGGCTGGCCTTGGGGCTGAGGGACGCTGGACAGGGCCGAGCAGCTGCCCAGACGTGTCAGGGGCCTGAGGAAGGCTTCTATTAATGCTGCTCCCTGGGTGTGTCACCGGGGATGGCTTCTGCTCGGGTTTCAGGGCCCTCTTCCCCTCTGGAAGCCAGAAATACCCTGGGGCGGGGCAAGGAGAGAAGGCTCTAGATGGTGACTTGAGACCTCCATGGAGTGGAGCTGGGAAGGGGCGCAAGGCAGCGGCCCGGGGAAGGCGACAGCCCACCAGGTGYGTGAAATCTGCCGGCTCTGGGCTGCAAGGCACAGCCTGGCAAGGGCAGGGCCCTGGGAGACCCAGGTGGCATGGCTTCCTGGTCTCACACTGCAGGACAGACACCAAGGCAGGGAGAGCGGGCCCTCATCCTGGGGATCTGGGGAACCCAGGAATCTGCCTAGGGTCATCTCAGAGGCCACCTCCCAGGCAAGCACTTTAGCCACAGGCCCACGTAGTCCCCCATGCTGCAGGAAGATTCGGCTGGCTCCCGGGCCTGGCCTTCCCCAGCTGTCACCCCACTGTGGTCACATTATTTCCTTTTCTTTTTTTTTTTTTAAAGAGAGAGAGAGAGAGAGAAGAGAGAGAGAGAGAGAGAGAGAGAGAGAGAGAATTTTTAATATTTATTTTTTAGTTCTCGGCGGACACAACATCTTTGTTGGTATGTGGTGCTGAGGATCGAACCCGGGCCGCACGCATGCCAGGCGAGCGCTACCGCTTGAGCCACATCCCCAGCCCCACATTATTTCCTTTTCAACCCTCTTCTCCACTCCTGGGTCCAGAAGAAGAGTTCTGTTTGGGGTAAGTCTTCAACAGTTTTCTGAAGCTTGCAAACTGCCCTCCGGAGTGAAGAGAGACCCCACCCAAGACACAGAGCCCGGCTGCATGGGGCTGCCGCTGTGTGCCAGGGCATGTCCTTAGTTTTGCCTTTTATAAGTGGAAAATAAGGATGATCCATTTATGCCTTCATGTACAAAGAAAGCGTTTATGTAAAAAAAAAAAAAAAAAAAAAAAAAGAAGGGCAGTAGGTTGATTTGTGGCCAGTGGGTGCACATTCACAGCAGAGAACAGAAGAGGATTAGACACCCTTGTCCAAGGGTTCTGCCCCACCTCCTCTCCCTGGGCTGGCCCTCAGCTCCTACGTGCCTCCTGGGTTCTGCTCTCTCTTCTGTCTCTGCTCAGGCCTTGTTGGGTGTATCGAAGAGGCTGATGCATGACCAGGAAGAGAGCCTGAGTTGGGCAGGGCCTCAAACTTCAGAATCCTGGCCTCAGGTTGACAGGCTCACAGAAAGACTCTCCTAGTGCGTGGAGAGACATTCTTGGAGTCGCAGAACGTTAACACTGACGGGTGCTTCCTCTCCACCAGGCAYTCTGCTGAGGCTTCTCATGTCGTCACAGTTGATCTTCCCACTAATCCATGGGGTGAGAACAACGATCGCTCCCATATTTTAGATAAGGACACCGGCTCARAGACATGAAGTAACTTGTCCCAATTCACACAGCCAGGAAAAGGTACAGCSAGTGTCAAAACTCAGATTATGATCTCTAAGAGCTTCTCTCAAAAAATGGTCTCATCTTTGCTCCCCTTCCCCCCGGCCCCTCCCCTGTGTTTCCTGTAGGGCTAGTCCRCCACAGTGAATGCCCAGTACCCACTGACACCTGCCACGCCCTGCTCAGCTCAGAGGGGCCCTCTGGCTCCACGCAGGTGGCTCCTCTCCATGGAGAACTCTCAGAAACTGGGCTCTCGGGATGCTGGTCACCTGGGCTTCCCCACTGCACGCCATGYACCCCAGGACAGCAGCAGCTGGGGAGCCAGATGTTTCTGGTGTATAAAGACAGAACATGGAGAAAGAAGCTGTTTAATGATGGCATCGTGAGTAAGCGTGGGGTCATTTGAAGAAATGCAAAGGAGGGCATTCCCGGTAAGGAGGGCAGCTGGGGCTGTCTTGTGTTGCCTCCGGAGGTCTTGGAACATGCACGGCTCCTGGTGCTCACTTGACRTCGGCTGCCGTGACTTCATGGTCTCATCAAAGAAGCCCGGCCTCTGCGAGAGGGCAGTGTGGAGCAACTTGTGCGGCGCTTTGCCTCGGTGGTGGTGGTGGGGGGTGTATGCCAAGTCCTCAGCCCAGCGTGAGTGGAAGCATTAAAGATTGATGGCCTCTTCCTTTGAAGTCGTCTTTGTGTGCCTCGCACCACTTGGCCCGCAGCTCTGGCGATGGCAGGCCGGCCTCCTTCGCCTCCCTGTTTACTAGATCTCTTCTAGCAGAMCTTTTCTGTCACAGGGGCCACTGTCAAGCTGTCTGTCTGCCCTCCCAGACACCCCAAGCCTTGCTGGACCAGGAAAGGTGTCAGTGGCCATGGCCACCCGCATCTGCTGGGAGCCCGGGCAGGGACACCTCCTCATGCTCCGCTCAGATGCTCCACTTTCCAGGACATCAGGCAGGAGAGCGTCTTAGGGAGGCAGCGGGTGAGTGGGCAGGAGCTGGCTGGGATGGAGCCAGGCCCAGGATCAAACCCTGCTGGCTGGTCTCCAGCTGTGTGGCTTCCAGCAGGTCCAGAAGTTCTCTCAGCTGCCCTTTCCTCCTTTGTAAAATGAGGGCAATGGGCCTGGAGGGAGCTGGTGGGAGGATTAGAGATGATGCGTTTTAGCAGCTTAGCCCAAGATAGATGCGATGGATCGAACTGTGTCCCTTGAAATCCACATGTCCAAGCCCTGGCCCTCACCCTGCTCGTATCTGGAGAGGAAGCCTTGGGAGGTAATGGGTTTAGATGAGGTCACGGAGGGGGAGTTTTCAGAAGAGACCACAGAGCTGCCTCAGTCTCTCCGCATAAGCACACAGGGAGGAGGAGGCTGTCTGGAGAGCCCCCCACCAGAACCCGACCATGCTGGTGCCTCRATCTCAGATTGCCAGCCTCCAAGCYCAGGAGAGAAGACATTTCTGTGGTGGAAGGCACACCGTCTGGTGCTCTGTTATGGCAGCCTGATTAAGACAGCAAGCAATCGATCCCAGAAGGCTGTTATGATTATTGTGGCTATTTATAGACGACAGATGTTTTTTTCCCTGATGGGTGATAAGCTTTTGGAAGGCGAGGRCACTGAGACTTTGCTATATCTCTGTTCTAGATCCCCTCAAGGGCCSAGCCCAGGTCACAACCTAGGGTAGAGTCTTCGTAAATGCTTATTGAATGTCTGTCGGATGAATAGATGGATGGACAGATAAACTAAAGGAAGGAGATGGGAATCTCAAATACTCTGTCACGTGACCCAAGAGACATTTCCATGTGTTTAAGATCACAGTAACCTAAGAAGTGGCAGCAGGGGCCTATCTGGGACCCCCTGGACTAATGGGTAATATGCCTTTAGGTGCTGAGGAATGTCTTAGGAGGACAGAGTCATCCCTTGGGAGGTCAAGTTCAAAAGGAAGTTGCTCCTGAGATCTGACATTCCCACCATCTTCAAAGTGGATGGGCCACACTCAGCTCAGGCAAGGTGAATCGGTTTTCATTTGTCCTAAGAAGGACCAGAACAGAACTAGGAGAAGAAAAGCATCGTCTCTCAGAAGTGGGATTTCTTCTAAACCCCGGGGGCCAGGGCCCCCCCCACACTTTCTTTGGTCACATGCTGATCTGATTTTGAACTCAGGCTTAATTCGGAGAAGGAGTGGCTCTGAGGGTTTCACCTTAAAACACCATCCACAAGCAAGGCCCCACCCAYTGCCCTAATCTCCTGACCACTTCCTCTCCCTCCCAGCTCCTTAAATTAGGTSCCCTGTGGCATCAGGCTCCTGATCCTCAGTTGCATCCTTCAAACCTCTGCCCAGAGGGACCCAGGTCTGTGTGTCACCTGCTCCTCCCCCAATGCCCTTCCCAGAGCTCCTGCTCCAGAGGCAGGCAGAGGCAGGGGAGCAGCTAGAGGGAAAAAGCATACCTAATAAAACACAAGGCCCTTCGATGGACCGAGAGGAAATGGGATGAAATCCCTGGACTCAGGAAGTTTTGGGGGGCTCCTCTCCAGCTCACGACCACTGAGATGTCCTCCTCCTATTCATGTGCCCCAATCCCTCCTGGACAACACCTCTCCCAGCTTCCGGGCCTCCTGGAAGTCTTTTCTGACTGCCCTCCCCACAGAGGCACCTCCTCCCTGTTTCTCTCACACCCCCCCTGAGCCTTCCAGCCCACACAGCYGGCCAGGGCTCGGGTCCTGCCGGGGCCAAATGGGTGAGATCCTCCCCAGGACTCCTGGCCCTTGAAAAGCCATCAAACCAAGCCTGTCTGAGGAGGGGCTGGGGCCTCCCAGGACAGAACTCCCTGAGCCGAGAGTGGTGGGCAAAGCTCCAGGCAGGACACAGGGCCCTGGTGATGCCTCTGTGCTGCGTCTGCTTCCACAGAGCCCTTGGGAGCCCTGTGCCTGAGGCCTGTTCACACAGTTCATCGCGTGAGCCCCTGGGGAGGACAGTACAAGGACCAGAGTCCCTAATGTGGACCAGAAGTATCAAAAGTATAATGTCTTTAACAGTATTTCTTCAGGGGAAGGGAGAAAAAAAGCGCATCAATTTAAAGAAAAAGATGCAGTGAACAATTGTACAGGACACGCCTAGGATGTGGCCAAAATCTAGCCTGCGTAATGAAGAGACAGGTGTGTGGAGCTTAGGGCTGCTGGGAATGTGTACATGCTTCTGGAAGGGCTAGTTGTAGCCCAGCTTTGCTGTGGACTGACTGTGTGCCTCATGAGAGATGGGTCACCTCTCTGAGCCTGTGTCCTTGCTCACGGAGCTCACAGAACCTTGTGGGCTAGGGCGAGAATTAAATGCAATAACGTATGTGCATACACCGGACGCATACATGGAGGCGGTGGTGTGCACCCTCACCAGAAGCCCTTTGGGGGGCAGGGTGTGCACTGTGTGGTGCCTCTGACCTGCGCAGCAATAGGAGACAGCTCGTCATTGAGCAGGCCAGAATGAAAGGATCATGGTGATTACTCCCCAGCCAAGAGAATGATTATCTGATGAGCTCTTGGAAATCCTCGTTGGCCATCTTCCTCATTACCATTCCTCTGGGAATGATTGTGGGGGAATTTGACAACAAGGCTGAATCCTGCAGAAGAGGTAGTGATGGAGTTAGGGAAAAAYTACTTTACGACTGCCACTGTCATTGATGGATGGAGTCATTCACTCAACAAACATTGACTGATCATCTTAGGGCTAAGAACAWGAGGAAGACACCAGGTCTGTCCTCGAGGAGCCCACAGTCCCGTGGCAGAACTGGACATAATCCTTCCTCTGTGATAGCAGCTCTGAGAGAGGGGAGCAGGAAGCAGGCTGGGGACACAGGTGGTCAGTAAAGCATTAACTCTGCAGGCCTGGGTCGTCCAAACCCTGCACATTTCTAAGAAAGAACTGGCGCTAGGTAATAACTCCTTCCTCTTTCTCTTCTTCTTTTTGGTCTAGGTGACAATTTCTAAGCCCTTGGAATATGCTGCCTGATACAAGYGTTTTTCCATAGCTGGGACTTGGGCCATACCAAGTCCCACTGCTTATGTGAACAGTGGGATTTGTGGGGAGGACCCTGGCCCRTGCCACACAGCTTAACTTCTGGGATGGGAGTCCGGAGACTGAGTAGCTAAGGYCATTCACGAGGCACTCTGTTCCTAGGTGATGACTCTCAGTAAAAACCCCCGAACACAAAGTCTCATCTCAGATGAGTTTTCCTGGTGGGCGGTTCTTCAGGTGTTGTCACACGTCATTGCCTGCAGAATCAAGCGTGGACTTTGCTGGGGAGGACAGCTGCCAGCTCCCCTGGGCTCTCCTGGACCCTGCTCTAGGTACCCTTTCCCTTCGCTGATTTGAATCTTGTCCTTTCACTGTAGTAGACAGAACTGGGATCATAACAGCTTCTCTGGGTTCTGTAAGTCCTTCGAATGAATCATTGAGACAACTTGAGGGTGGTCATGGGTACCCCTGACGCACCTCTGTGTGGTGGCCATGCTGGAGGGGGTGGGCCAGGACGGAGCTCGCGGATGACATGGAGGATGAACAGGGGTTAAGGCAGGGAAAAAAGGGGCCCAGACCATTTATATGTGGTTAGGTCCTGGYGGGTTTGAGGATCGAGGATCAGGGGGGAGAGGAGGCGGGGGAAGGAAGCCAGCTGGGACCAGACCCCACAGGGCTCTATCAACCACATGGGGAAATGGAGTGCGTCTGTTTCCCAAGACACCAGGAGCTTCATACTGGGCATCCTGTCCACGTCTACCTGGGTCAGCACTAAAGCAGGTGAGGGATGAAGGGGACGGACGGGCTGAGATAACAAGGGGCCTTTGCAGGCACTGAGCGCCCAGACCAAGGCAGGGCTGGTGGGGGGACTAAGCAGGAAGGGATCTGTGTGCAAGACCCACAGGCGGTGGTCCCAAAGGGATTTGGTGGGAGACTTGGTGTGGGAGGAAGGGGTGAGGGTGGCAGACAGAGGCCTGRGTGGACATGAGGTTACTGATAAGGACCAGACAGTCCAGCGGGTTTAAGCAGATGGGTTCAGATTCAGACACTGAATTTTTGCAATGTAGGATATGCCTGTAGACCACAGTGAGCCCAAGGAAAGTGATTTAATTAAATAGAAGGGATTGAGGAGGAATTGGGAGCAATGACAGAGCTGGGAAGGCCTTCAGGACCCCCGAAAAGACTCCTCCCCAAGGCTCCAACACCTCTCTTCTGCAAGTCCAAGTCCAAGGATGTGAGTTCATCGCCGGCTCTCATACAGAATGCTGTTTCTCACATCTCAAGCTTATCTGCTCTAGGCCTCCTCGGCACCCCCTGAGCTTCTTCAGAGCCTCCTCTCCTTTGTTAGCGGGGAACTCCTGGCACTGAGTGAGGGGCTGGGCTGCTGGGGGTGCTCTATTGGGAACCTGTTGGGGGACCTTTGCAGAACAGGCCAATTTCTCCAGGGAGGGCGGAGGGAGCAGTGTCCTCAGGGGGGCGCATGGGATCATTTATCCCAGGAGGTGGAGAGAGTCAAAGATGCAGGAAGAAGGCTCAGCAGAGCTGGAGGACGGGAGGGAGGGTTGGCTGGTGCAGAAGGAGCCCAGAGCCAGGGAGGGTAGCAGAGAGAGACCTGTGGGCAGGCTGAAAAATGACCACAGCCCCATTTCCCTTCCCATGTCTCCTTCTAGAACCTAGTCACTCCCCAAGARTTGAAGTCACTTTCTCTCCCCTGGAACCCGAGCAGGCTTTTCATTACCTGAAGCAAYAGTGGGGTCCCGGGACTTCTGAGATTGCCACCTTGCTCTCATCTCAGGACACTGGGAGCCAGGCACCAGGGCTCAGGCCACATGGAGGCCACGTGGAGGCGCTGAGTTTGCCAGCCTCTGCTGCCAAGTGTGTGAGTAAATGGGTCTCCAGGGATTCCAGCCCCCGGCCATGGAGCCTCTGGTGGAGGGTCTTAAGCCATAGTGCCCCCTTCCTATTTGTGAATTGTTGACTGCGCTCATCTAGTGAGTAGTGGAACTTTGACCCCTAGTGCTTGAACTTTTTTGTATTTTGGAGGGTGTGTGTAAAATGTATCAATCTTTGAATTAGAAAAGCATATATATTGTTATTATTTTTTTTAATGAACCTAGGCTACTGCAGCTTAATTTGCCATAAACAATTTGGGTCCTGGGTGTCTCATAAGTGTTACTGTGTCCTCTAAAACACTTCTCGGGGGACAAAGGTCAGGAGAGAGGTCCACCAGCCCTTCCCTTGCTGGTAGGCACAGGGTGGGGGCTGGTGGTYGACTCTGGACTTCTGTTTTCCTGTTTGTTCTGTAATTTTGTCTAAAGCTGTAAGTTTAAAAATATCCGTATCAGGAGTCTCTGCCTCATCTCTGAATTCCAAGGCCCCAGAGCCACGCTTCTCCTTTCCTCCCCTGTCCAGTCACTGGGGCTGGGCAGCAGGTTCTATATTGGGCACTGGTGCAGGGAGCGGAGTCGTGTGACTTGGCGCTCTGAACTCCCCGCCTCCCTCCTTCCCTCCCCCTTCCTCCCTGGGCACCAGCTCAGGCGGCTGCACACCTGGGACCCAGGGCACCTCTGGGTGCAGTCTCACTCAGGGTCCCTGGGAGCGGGTCAGGACTGGGCTCCTACAGCTCATCCTCAACTTTGTGAGACTAAGAACACTCCAGTGGGGTGTGCGGGGGGGGCTCCCAGGGCCTGCAAAGAAAGCAGCAGCTATGAGGAACCTCAGCCACCAGTCCCCAGCAGGAGACACCGGTGACAGGAATGAATGGACATCAGCTGGAGAAGAAACTGGCAGCGGGAAGACTGGCCCAGGGGCAGCCACACAGCTGGGATGCGGGTTTCTCCTAAACTAAAGACCAGTGGCCGCAGGCACCCCCTCCACAGGCTGTTCTAGAACAATCCATTGTGGGAAACTCCTGGAGTGCTATCAACAAACCCTCTTGAAGGGTTTTTATGAATACCTCTTGCGGTATATTTATAAATACCTCTTGCGGGGTATTTATGAATGTTTCCAAGTTTATGTCCTTGTCCTAACACYCCTTGGGGGGAGGTGGTACCTTAGAGGGAACAGGGCTGAGGGAGGCTGGGGAACTTGTCCACGGCGGCCCTGGGGACAGGGGAGGAGGAGCTGGGGCTCGATCGCCATCTCTCTGGCCCTCRGCCACCCCGCTGCAGCTGCCGGCTGTGGGAAGACACCACTGAGCCGTTGAGTCCCAGTGTCAAGCCGGGCCAGGCTCCCAGGCTTGTTGAATTCCATCAGCATTCAAGGCTTCGCTTCACTCCTGACCGGCCATTTTCCCGCTTTCTTCTTCAACCCCCGACTTCTATTTCTGAAACTGGAGGCTCAAGAGTGAAGAGGAAAAAGGCAAAAATCTAAACACATGGCTGGGAAAAGGCATGCTGGGAAAACGGATGAGTTGTCCTAACAGCTGCACAGTCCAGAGGCAATCACCAACAGCCTGCTCGGTGACCGGGCACGAGTGACCCCCTTCTCTGTGCCTTGTTTTTCCTCACTGTATAATTGGGCTGGTGTGGGGCACTCAGCTTCAGCATTACAGACATTTGGAAATACATCATTTCGAGGGGGTGGTGTGGAAGTTCCAGTTGCACCAAAGGGCTCAGAATACAGAGTGACGTGGTCCCAGACTCAGGTATCTTTATTTTTTTCTTCTTCTTTTTGCAATACCAGGGGTTGAAATCCAGGGGTACTCAACCACTGAGCCACATCTCCAGCCATTTTTACTTTTTATTTTGAGACAGGGTCTCCCCAGTTGTGGAGGCTGGCCTGACACTTGCAATCCTCCTGTCTCAGCCTCCCGAGTTGCTGGATTTCAAGCCTGTGCCACTATACCTGGTGAAGGTCTCACTTTTAAGTGGGTACTGCCCAACAGTTTGGGGGGAGGAGGCCAAGGAGGGAGGCCTGAGACTGGCCAGCTCTTCCCTGTTTTCCTCTCCCTGCTGGCTGGACTGCCTATCCCACATCCCTTTGCTCTTACACATGGACATGTGATTGAGTTCCGACCAGGACTGCGTGGACAGAGGGTGGGGCCCCAACTTCCTGGTCCATTGGAATCTCCCACCGAACCTCCACCCCTGAGATCATCCACTGTAGCTGCCCTCCGTCTGCATGGAGATGGGTGTCCACGCCCAGGGTGACCCCCACAGCATGGCCTCTAAATCTCTGCATGATGGTGTGGAGTGGACCACCTCTCCTGCTCCAGCCAGTGGACTTTCTAAGAGTGAGAAAGGAACTTCTATTGCCCAGTGTCCATTTGGGGATCGTTGACGACGTGGCCAGTCTAAGCAACACAAGTGAGGATGGAACAGGGGCTTTTGAGCAGGAGGGGCTCCGAGTGGCCTCTTTGTTAGGGACTAGCACGTGTCAGTTCTTGTGGGCCTAACTCTGYGGGTGAAGGAGCTGGAGATTTCTGCTGCACTCAACACATGATTCCGTGACCACGGGAGGTGGGAGCAAGTCACCAGATGCAGACTGGCATGGGAGTTCACCTGGGATGGCTGTGAGGCTTGTGCTGAGCCAGAGTTTCCTCAGTGCTAAGAATAAACAGGGGACAGAGAGGTTCTAGCACCAAGTGCCAACTCCAGGCAGCCTTGGCTCCAGGCTGGTGGCATAATCAGCCTGCAGCTTGGGGGGGTCAGTGGGTGGGACCTGGCAAAGACCTGAGCTCCCCTGGCCCTGGGGCCTGGAGGCTCAGCACATCCTCTTTCCCAGGTGCCTCTCAGGCAAAAGCAAAGAGGATGAAAAAGCCAGTCCAGAAATGCAGGGAGCGGTCTCTGCAGGCTCAAGGGCAGGGTGTAGGACATTGGGTCTCAGCCTCCCTTCTCGGTTCCCTTCGCTGGGACCAGGGTATGAAAGGTCTTCGTGGGAACAAAGTTCTCTTGGAAGAGCCTCAAGAGTTTTGTCCCCTTGGTTTCAGGAGGAGCAGCAAAGCTGTGGCTCCCAGGAAGACGACTCAAGGTCACAGACCTGCAAGAAGGGGAGGTGGAATTGAATGTCAAGGTCCCTGGGCTGCAGTGGGCCATACCTGGGGAAGGGCACGGATTACCCTCTCTCATGCCCCYGAGGAGGGGAACCCTGTCACCCACCCATGGCACACCCCTGGGGTGAACCTGGTGGTTTAGGTGTTGCTGGGGCCGGTGCAGGATGTCAAGGGGGTCCCCAGGTCACTTGTCCCCGGGGCTGGGGAAAGTGGCAGCTGGCTGCCCAGCCTGGGATCAGGTAGCTTGGTCAGGCAACAGCAGCAGGAAGCCCATTTGTCCTCGATCCCAGCCACTTTCCCTGGCCACAGAGCTTACATGTGGGTTCTTGGGCTCATCTCACTCTTAGAGTCGCTTTGGAGGGGAAAGGAGTCTGGTTAGTGGACTCTCCCAGAACCCCTCCAGGTAACATGGGGTCTTGGTGGCCTGGCTTGGTCTGCCAGCCCCCACCTGCAGCTTCCAAGGACAGGCCTGGCTCACTCAGCTGTCCAGATGCCCCCCACACTGTAGGGTGGCCTGTCCATCTCTGTGGAAAGTTACCACAATGGCACCACCCAGAAGTCTGAGGTAGTCCACATCCTGGGGAGGTGGCCGAGAGCCAGGCTGCAGCCAGCTAAGGCAGCCTTGGCCAGCACCTCCAGCTGCCCCCTCAGCCTCCCGCTTCTCTTGGAGGATCCAGTGTCTTGGGGACCTGGGACACGAAGTGTCYACAAAGACTCGGGGGGCTCTTCCCGCACCTCCCTGCATCAAGAAGAGAACATTTTAAAAATGTTTTTATTTAATTAAAAAAAAAAAAAGACAGAACTAACAACCCCAAACCAGTGGTGGGTAAGGGAGGGCAGGTGCTTAACTGGCGAAACACGGGGTAGGAGGGCGGGCTGGGGCGGGAGGAGGCGGGGAGGCGGGCTCAGGCCACACAGCCCCCAGGGACGGCCAGGTCCGAGACTGCCTGGGCCGAGCTGCAGCAGCAGGAGGGCGGCCAGAGACCAGGGTCCTGGGTGGAGCGGAGGCAGTGGGTGGAGAGGCTGTGACGGCAGGAGCCTCTAGGGACGCTGTGCCCCTGCCCTGCGTCCCTCCTGGTGGCTTCTTCCCGTTCGGTCTGCTCTCTCGTGGTCCCCAGCGTGGGCCCTGTGTTCTCTGCCTGGGGCTGGGCAAGAGGTAGGATTCAGTGGGCTCAGSGCTCTTGGGACGCTCTGGGGCAGCGGTCGGGGGTGGCTCGTGTGGCAGCAACAGCAAGGCGACCTTGCTTTTGGAGGAGACAGAAGACAAGTCCTGGGGTCCTGCTGGGGGACAGGCCTCCTTCAGCCTGGTGAGACGGTGGCATGGTGGTGAAGTGGTGGAGGAAGGTGCGGGCTGGGTGGGGAGGGAGGCAGGGCCYGGGCGGCCCCTGACCCTGGTGCTCACTGCTGTGCATGCTTGGACACGTCACCGTACAGAGCCATCCTGGCCGGGAGGAAAGGGTTTTGAGCAAGCACAAAGGGGACCTGGCAGGCCTCGMGTCTCAGCTCACCCGCACGCAGGAGCCGGGGGTGGGGTGATGTCCTTTCCTGGGGGCCAGGGGCGGGCAGGGAAGGACGCAGGCCTGGTGGACCCAGGTGGAGGGCGGAGTTGCCCAGGGGTTCCGWGAGCAGGTGGCTGAGGTAAGAATTGGTTCGGTCACTTCCGAGAGCAACAGCTACCGGGATCACAGGTGACTGTTCAAGATTGGATTAAGAAGTTTCAAAAAGTAAGAAACGATTTCTCTTTAGAAAGCACACGGTTCATAGAAAAGGGGGTGAGTTCCRCGTTCCAGGGGGCTCTTCCGAACCTGGACACACCCCCGCTTCCTCGGCTTGCTGCAGGAGGGGGGCAGAAATGTTAGGAAACACTGCGAACCACAGAACCCCCTTCCTCAGACACACAGYGCTGAGATTTCTCTCTCTGAGGGTGGAAGAAAGGCCCAGATCAGCCCCTTCCGTCAAACTCCTGCACTGTGTCCTTTCCACTGGTGGCAGAATAAATTACAATAGGAAGAGTTGGGGGACATGTTGCTGCTACTGTTGAAGATGAGGAAATGGACAGAACTTGCTCTCCTGGTACCGACTGAGCAGACCATGATTGGTGACCAGCTAGGAAATGGATACACGTCTTCTGGTTTACGTATTTATTTTCATTTGTTTTGGTTGCTATTCGCCCTCTGGTCTCTCTTTCTTACACAGATGTTCAGGCTTCTGTGCCAAATGCCATTTGGGGGCAGTGGGCTGGGGGGTCTGTGCCATCCCCCACAGCTCAGGGGACAGAATTGCTCCTCAGACCAGTGGGGAGTGTCCAGCAGGAGGCCACTCTGACCTGTGGATCCCTCCAGACCCTCAAGTACAGTCAGTGTGTCCTGCCCATTCTGAGCAAGGCAGAAACTTCCAGAAGCAGGCAGGAGGTCATCAACAGACCTGACCTTTGCCTCACACTCCTCCCCAAGCCTTGGTCTCCTCTGGAGGAGGGAAATCGGCCCCAGGACAGCACGAGGCTGAAGCACCAGTTGGCTATAGAGCTTGCTCTTCAGAATGACTGTTTTCAACAACAGAGTGCCGGAGAGAGAAAGAGGGAGAGAGAGACAGAGAGGGAGGGAGGGAGCTTCAGCATCCTGGTTTCTGGCTCAAAGACACAGGGACTTCTGGTTCAAAAGCAGCTGATGAGARTGCAGAGGCCCCTTGTGCCTGAGAAGCCTCTGGCGGCCCAGGGCCCGGGGCCCAGGCAGGCAGGAAGGCCCTAAAATTCCATTCTTCTGGCAAGATTTGTTTCCAAGAGGAGATAATGGCTCAATTTYATTTTCCCGTGCAGCTCAGGAGAGCTCTTGGGCCTCCTGGGAGATCAGGAACCCCGGGGGGCAGCCGAACACCCGTTCTGGGATACAGTCCACCTTCCACCTTCCCCAGCCCCGGCTCTAGGCTCCGGCTTCTTCCACTGGACACCAGCCCACGACACCTTCCGAGACCAGGGAGGGTGGCGGGTGGCTTCAGTTCATTGTCCGTCCGTCCACCTGGAGCATCCCGTGCCCTCCTGTGTGACCCAGGCAGCCGATCCAGGGAGAGGCCGGTGCTGAGAGGAGAGGAGGGGTGGGCCGCTCACACAGGGGTGGTCCGCCGGCTCAGCATGCTGACGTGGAAGCCCTCCTTCAGGTCCTGCTCGAAGAAGTCGTGCACCTGGAGGAAGCCGGCATCCTGGTCGGGGCTGTAGCTGGCCGCCGTGGTCACCTTGAGGGGCTCCCTGGACAGCGTGTACATGGACAGCTCGCCCATGGGGATGGCCCCGGCGATCTTGAGGCCCACGGGAGATGCGTCCCTGGAGGGCGAGGCCTCGGTGGACCTGGAGCTGGACCGGGAGCGCCGTCGCCGGTACCGGTAGCTCGGCATCCTGGCATAAGGGGACGAGGAAGAGGCCTTGAGGAATTCCCGTTTGGTCTTGAACCTCAGCTCTTTATTCTTCTCAATGTAAATGTTTACAGCCAGGACGCCCACGGTTTCGGCCACGATGAAGGACAGCGCCCCGAAGTAGAAGGACCAGCCGTAGTTGTAGTGGTTCTTCCTGTCTTCGTCTCGCTTGTCACTGGGGTCGCCCGTGTTGCTGGAAATGTAGACGATGATGCCTATGATGTTGCTGAGGCCTGAAAGAGAAGCAGAGGYGGGGACCGGGGAGGGACAGAGGCAGAGATCAGACCCTCGGCTGCAGCGACAGGACAGGGGACAGGCGGCCGGAGGAGGGGCTCTGGTCGTTCCCCTCCCGGAGACGCCGTTCTTCATTCTGGTAGCTAATTGTTCTAAGTACAGTCATCCCTGGGTATCTGGGAGAGATGAGTTTCAGGACCCTCAGAAGATGACAGATCTGCAAGTTCAAGTTCATCACATAAACAGCTGGCACACAACCTGAGCACACCCTGCGCTGGGCTCCGGTCATCTCTGGATCACTTACCCACTAATACGATGTCCATGCTGAGTAAATGCCTGTTATACTCATGTCCATTCTGGGCCCTCGCCCTGTCTTTACCTGGCCGACGCCTTTAGGTCTTGGTTTCCCATGACTTACCGGGTGCTTTCCCGATCCCTGACTCCTCAGAGGCTTGAAAAGCCCCCGTCTCTCTGTCTTGGAGGCACATCGCACACCCGACTTTCTTTTTAGATGAAGTGAAAAATCACACCATATAAAATGACCCTTCAGAAGGGCACAGTGCAGTGGCATTGGGGGCCCACCACCTCTACTAGCTCCAAAACAATTTTGTCACCCCCCCCCACAAAGACCTTGTTAAGCAGTTGCTCCCTGGCCCTGCCACCAGGATGCCCACTCCTGGTAACACAGACCACGTATGCCCAGCTCCCCCAGCAGCGCTGGCCCCAGTGGGCGGCCTGGGCGGGGGCTCACCTGCAGCCACAAAGAGGATGCCAGCACTGAGCACGATGTTGTTCCTGCGGCTGTAGATCCTGCCAGCGCCGATGCAGAGCCCTCCCAGCAGGAGCAGGATGGTGCTGAGGATGGGGAACACGCTGGAGGCTCGCACGATGCCTGGCCAGGGAGGGACGAGACAGAGAGGGCAGTGAGGCCAGCCGCCCCGTTGGCCACGGACATGGGCGCCTCCCAGGACCCCTGCGGCTGGAGGTCCTTCCCCCAGGATTTGAAGATCCCATCAGGACCTGGACTCAGTGGGTCAAGAGGCACGAGGGGTGGCCAGGACAGCTGGACCAAGGCCAGAGCTGGCCCCAGGCTGGCTGTTCGCTCTCCCAGACGCTACATGACCCAGAGTCACATCTGCCCACGTGCTCAGCCTCCCTGGGGTGCGGGCCACACCCATCAGCCAGGAGGGAGCAGGGTCCCCAGTGACACTGGAGAGGTCACAGTAGCAGCCACCAAAACCTTGGACTGCATCGTGTTTCTGTAACACCTCATGGCCACCAAGCCTCCAGCGGATCTAAGTCCCCACAGAGCTTTCTTGGACATGGTCTCCCTGGGGCCTCTGGGAGCCTGGGGCCCTGCGTCCACAAGAGGCAGCGCTCGTTGGTGGCTGGAGACCACAGGCTTTGGCACATTAGGTGGGTCTCCGTGACCTACTGGCTGTGTGGCCTTGGCCACGTCACTTCACCTCTTCAGAAACTCAGTTTCCTCACCCGTGACACAGGGTTCAGTGAGCAGCCACCCCGGGGGGTGCATTTTGAAGCCTGAAACTGTGGATAGTATGAACCTTCTATGCACTTGGACCCATGGCAAGAGTCGGCCTTGGTTTTCCTATACATCCATGCCTGTGATAAAGTCCAATTTACAAATTAGGGGCAGTAAGAGATGAGCAGCTAATAATAAGACAACTATAACAATCTACTGTAATAAAAAATTACTTATCATGGATTTTTTATTTTCTGGGATTTTTCTCCTTTCGTGTTTTTGAACTGTGGTTGGCTAACACCTGAGAAGGGGAAACCAAGGTCAAGGGGGCCCTGTCTGGGACCAAGGTTCTGTGGTTGGTTTTGTACGTGTGAGTGCTCAGCACAGGGAGCGTCACATTCTGTGCTTCCTAAGTGACTCTTCACCTTCTGCACTGTTGTCATGCCCCCCCCCCCCCCCCCGCTCCGCCCCCGTGGAAGCTCACAGAAGAGGCTGCTAGGTGCACAGAGCTGCTGTGAGCTGTGCAGCTGAACGGCATTCCTGACCTTGTTCTGCCGCAGACAAGCGGGGCACCCAGGGCAGGTAGCTGAGGTGACCACCTGAGTCCATGGTCACATAGAAGAGAGAAGTGATGCCAATCAGTAGGGGTTGAAGTGTGGCCCCCAAACACATCCACACCCTGTCCACCTCCGGACCTGGGCATGGGATCTTATTTGGAAAAAAAGTTCTTTGCAGGTGTGATTAAGGGCCTCAAGACGACATCATCCTGGATGGATGAGGTGGTCCCAGGTCCAATGACAAGTGTCCCTCTGACAAGGGGAGACATGGGCTCTTATCCATAGAGGGGACACAGAGGAGAAGGCAGGCAGAGAGTGGAGTGACATGGCCAAAGAAGGCCACCAGAAGCAGGAAGAGGCCGGAAGAGAGCCCTCCAGAGCCCGCAGAGGGGRCGGGATCCCACCAGCTCCTGGAGTGTGGATTTCTGAACAACACACCCCGAGAGCCATTTTTTTCTGTCTTAAGCCGCGTAGCTTGTGCATTCCTTCCCGAGACCCACCCCAGGGGATTACTGTGGGAAAACACAAAGCCCCTCGTGGGGCGTCAGGCCCTCCCTTCGTGTCTGGGGTGGGAGGGGGTCAGAGGAAGGGAGGAGGGGCTTGAGGAACACCCCAGGGCTCAGCCTTCCCTGGGAGCCTGCTGGTCTCCCAGCCCAGCAGAATCCGGTGGTGTGGGCTTGGTGACCCCAGCAGGGGACGGCGAGACAGGGAATGCGGGCAGACGCCCCTCCTGAGCCAGCTGATGGGCTTGGGGTCTTTCAGCCTCTGAAGGCCCCTTTTGTCTCCTTTCTGTATAGACACCAGTGTGTGCCCTGCTTCACAGACGAGAGATTGTCTGKGGCCTTAAATGAAGCTCTTCTCTCMGGCCCCCTCCTCCCTGTTGCCTGTGCCTTCTTGGCCACACTGCAGGCTCGGGAGGTTTCCTGTGTCTTTCTGAAATGTGCCTCTGAGCTGTGCTGGCCAGAGAATCACAGTCACCATCCTTCCCCCAAGTCCTCGTTCAGCAGACAGGTCAGAGGGGCTGGGGAGAAGGGAGCCCACCAAACCAGGAAGGCCAAACCTCGACGGGGTGCCAGGCCCAGGCCCGGATGGAGGGACCCTGGAGCTAGTAGGGCCCGTGGAAGGCTGTGGGGTGGCGACTCCCTCAGATCCTGGGTGATGGAGGTGCATACCAGCAGGGGCAYGGCAAGAGCTCAGAGGCCATCAGGAGCCCCATGACAACCCAGAACGCCAGCCTGGCTTCAGAATGGGTGGCTCAGGGTTGACGTCCTCCTGAATGGTTCAAGGTTGTGCGTGCACAGCATGGCCTTGGGGCCTCCCAGGTCCACACCTGGAGAGCTGGGCAGGCAGCCCACCATGGTGCCTGCCGGCACCAGGGACCAGGGCTCTGCTTCCCGACTGCTGGATCCCAGGTGGTTGTCACAGGGCCCGGCACATAGCAGACCCACAGAGCTTTCTGTTTAATGAGTAAGGAAATGAATTCTCACGAAACCTCCTCATCTGCTGCAAACCTCAGTCCCCGGAGACCTCTCGCCTGGGCTTCTCCCTGTGCAGGAGACCTGGGAGAGAGCCCAGAGGCTAAATACTGGAAACCCATGGCCTAGCTCAGGAAGTTACCCTCTGCTCTGGCCCCAAGCTCATCTGCACTTGGGAGGTARAGGACAATCAAAGGCACAATCAGAGCTCAGCTTTCAGACGGGCCAAAGTCCCTGTCTGAGGCACACCTCCTCCTCAGGAAGCCAGCCCTGCCCTCCAACCCCAGCTCTGCCAGCAGCTGAAGAACACAGGCTGGAAGTCCACCCTCCATGGCTCTCCCAGGCTTTTTACRGAACCTGGCTGCTCTCCCCACGGTGCACACTCCCTTTCCAAGTGACCTTTAGTTGCTGTGAGCAAGTGACTCTGGGCGTTCCAAGTCCTTGGGCCCTCCACAGGACAGTGCTGGGGGAATTCAAGGACTCCAGCAACTAAAGCGGTCCGGCCCCTTCTTTGTTTGCCCCTCAGGCTCTTGCTTTATTCTTCTCCATCCTACACTGCAGAATCTGAAGGATGTCATTCATACCATATATAGGCAAATGACAATCYTTGAGTTGTGTGCAGTGTGCAACCTCCACAATTATCCTTGGCAGCCCTATGGGAATTCATTTTCCCAGTTTGGTAGGGGTCCCCCAATAAGCAGAATCAGAGGTCAGGCAGGAAGAGGAGGAGGAGAAGGAGAAAATGAGGGAGGAGGAATGGGGGCAGAGCTTTGACCAAATCATTTCAGGTCCTGGGCCTGGCTGGAGCAATCTGACACGGCCTTGGCTCCATGGGAACCGCACACTGTTCTATTTCACTAGATGACTCAGAATCCAAACCCCTTCTTTTAGGAAAAAAAAAATCCATAAACAGGTGCAGAGTGAACTGTGTTCCCTCTGAGGGCACTGGTATTGATTCTCCATAGACGAAGCTGGGCCCGCCCCGGGGTGCTGCCTGTGCGCTCTTCCAGACTCTGGACAAGGTGAAAGGGGAAGCGGCCTGGAGATGCTGCTACTCCATTCCCGGGCTCCTCTGTGGCTCCTCTTTCCTCCAGTGGGTACTCMCAGGCCCAGGGATGAGCTCTGGACTCAGGGTGCAGGGCTAGGTTTGTCCCAGGGACCCYCCGGGCTCCAGTGTGGGCCCCACACAGCCACAGGAGCCCAGGTGGGGCAGGGGCAGGGGTTCTGGGGACAGCCCAGGGGCTRAGGCGTGGCTTGGGTCCTTGGGGCAGGAAAGACTTCAACCAGCTCCTCCAGATCTGCCCTGCCCTTCTCCCCTCCCTCAGGCTGCCTGGAGCCCCKTGAAGCTGTGGAGGTATGCCCTCGGTCTGATTTTTCTAGAACAGATCAGGGATAGCAGGGGAGTGGGCAGGCCACCACACCCCGCAGGGAGGCAGCACCTGCGTCTTTAACCTTCCCGGTGCCAGTCTCGGCTCCAGCCAATCAGCTTCCCTGAAGCCGGCCACGCCCAGCAGCTCCAGGTTGCGGCCTCCCCTCGGCTCCCGCCTCKGTCTCCCCAGGACACTGGCCCCCAGCCGAGCCCTCCACCGAGATACCCAGCCCGCTATGGCCTCGCTGCACAAAACTCCGTCCTCTGAGGTCACCAGGCAGTGGAAGGGAGCGTCCACCGTTTCCAGAGAAGAGCCCCCGTGCCCCGCCAGGTGTCCACCGGCCTCCAGCCGCCACCCCGGCCCCTGCGCCCCCTCCCCCGCACCCCTGCCCCCCCCCCAACAGGGGAAGCCAAGGATTCTTGACACTCACGAAGGAGGTACTCGGAGCTGTCATGGTCGTAATCATTGTCCTCGGGGAAGTGATTGATCCGGAAGCAGTGCCCTTTGTAGATCCCTGCAGGGAAGGAGAGGACAACACCGTCAGTGTGGTGCGGTGTCCMTCACTCCGAGGTCACAGTCTGTGCRCAGAGCCCCGAGCAGGCCCTGCGGGGACGGGCGGGGAGGGGTCTGCCTCGGTGACCCCCAGGGGCCTCAGATACAACCACAGAGAACAACCACACCGTGGGGCAGGGACCGGGCTTTATCCAGCTTTTTCATTGCTGTGACCAAAGACCCGACAAAAGCAATTAGAGGAGGAAAGGTTTATTTGGCGCTCATGGTTTCCAGGTCTCAGTCCATAAACAGCAGACTCTCTTATTCTGRGCTCAAGATGAGCTAGAACGTCATGGCAGAAGAGTGTGGAAGGAGGAAAGCGGCTCAGGACATGATGATYAAGAAGCCAAGAGAGCTCTGCTCACCAGGGACAAAATATAAACCCCAAAGACCTGACCCCTGCGACCCAYCTCCTCCACCTGCCTGCAGCTAGCACCAGTTAATCCATCCAAGTGGATCAGGTTAAGGTTGAGGCTCTCCTAATCCGGTCATTGCACCTCTGAATTTTTTGCATTGCCTCACAYAGCTTTTGGGGGGCACCTAAAAGGTGACCATATTCTTTATGGTCCAAGCCTGGACCCCCTGTGAGAGGGAAAGACTCACTATCCATAACTGCTGGGACCAGAGGTGCCATGAGGGACTGTCCTGGGCAGGCAGCATGTCAGATCCCTGTACCCAAGGGCACTCATGAACCACAGCTTGAAAATCGGCAAAGAAGTTGCTCCTGGGGAATGGGGTGGAGAGGGCCTTCCAGACAGAGCAGCCAGCCTGGCACAGGCTGAGGTTGGGCCRGGGTCTGTCTGTCTGTGTCCTTCCCTCTCTTTCGACCACCACACAGTGTGCACACCGCACCTGTTCACAGTTCAGTTGCAGTCCCCTTATGAGACCGGAGACAGAGAACACGGTGCAAGACAAACTTGTGGAAGGCCTGAGACCATCTCCCGCCTGGTCTTCTCCTTCCCACTCTGAGAAGTGGCCTTCACAGGGTTGCAGGCAGGACTCCTGGGTTTAGTAACTGTAAGAGGACAGGCCAGTCTTACTTTCCAGGATCATATGTCCAACTCTCCTAGTCCCCTGCTGCCCAGCAGCCTGGGAGTGCCCACTATAGAACCGGATGAGAGGGGGACACACAGGGTTCCATAGGCAGTGGGCACCTGCCTGTGCCCGCCCTTCCCGGGTCAGCCTGCGAGTGCCCAGCAAGGAGCTCCTCTGGGCACCTGTGGGCCTGCCTGGGGCTGCTTCCAACTGGGGCCCTGCTCTTTTTCCATGGCTGCTGCCAAGTGTCCTGCTGGCCTCCTGCAGCCCGGGTTGACCTCATAGCCAGTTAGGAGCACAGTCTTGGAAGCAGGGTCGGTGGCAGACACACATCTGTCTCTCTGTCCCTGGGTGCACACTGTTCTCCCACCTGATACCCACGAGCGGGTCGCTAGCTGCCCCCCTCAAGCCCTCCCTCCACCAGGCTCTTTCAGCTGCCTCTGAAGAGCTGAGAGGCTCAGAAGCAAGACTATTTCTGGAAGGCTCCTGGGCTCAAGGGCCAGGAGGGTGGAGACAGAGTGAGGGTCTCCGAGGTGACGCCCGGAGTGACACACATGCCRACAGCATACTCTGCAGGGCCCGGTGTGAACGCAGTCCCCCCTCAGTCTCCTCATCTGTACATGGGGGTCACCACACTCCCAGGCCCTAGGGACCTCAGAGAGTCACATGAGGTTATCCCTCAAGGCACCAGGATGATACTTCAGAGCCCCTGGGGATGCTCAGGGGAAGTCTATTGCTGCCAAACCAGAGGTTCCGATCCTCYGGTCTAATGTCTTTGCTTTTCCCAAGGACAGAGCACCTGGGCTGGCTGGTCCAGGATGACCGGTGGCCGGTGGGGTCACGGAACCCAGAGTGGGCCGTGCCCACCCCRCTCACTCCTGCCTCTCACACTGTAGATTCGGAAACGTGCAAGGAGACCCAGAGGAGCGCTTTCCACAGATATGGGTGGTGCAGGCGGGGCTGGCTCTCTGCCGCTCCCTCTCCCTACACTTTCTTTATTTCACTTCATGGGTCTGAACAAAATCTCCAAGTCACACCTCCTTGTTGGAACAAGTAAATAAGAGGTGGAAAAAGAAGTAAATGATCTCTCCGTGCAGATTTGTTCTCCAGCAGAAAACCTGTTGGGCTTGCTGTCCGTCTTCCCACAGCATCCTTTGTGTGCACACCCACACACGTCCACACGTGTGGGTCTCCCCCTTTTGGGGAGAAAGTTGGGGGTTGAACCCAAAGCCTTGCCCACACTACGCCCATACTCCACCACCTACACCCCTAGGCCTCATATTTTTGGTACTTACCACTAAGCCACATCCCCAGCCCTTTTCATTGTTTGAGACAGGGTCTTGCTAAGTGACTTGCTAAGTGACTTGCTAAGTGACTTGCTAAGTGGCTAAGTTGCTTAGATGAGGCTGACCTCAGCCACTTGTGATCCTCCTGCCTCAACCTCCTGAGTCATTGGATTTACTAGCATACGCCCCTGTGCTAGGCCTCAGGCCCTATTTAAAAAAAAAAAAATTAAATCCTGTTTTTTGATCATGGTAGATTGACATACAGTTTTAAGAAATATATGAAAATATCCAGTCCCCTTGACTCAGTTTCCCCCAATGATAACTTGTTACAAAACGTGAGTACAACGTCACATCCAGGAGAGTGGCACTGATACAGTCAAGATGCAGAATGGTCCAATCCCCAAAGGGCCCCTCCTACTGCCCTGGCCACGCCCACCTCCTCCTGCCACCGCCCCTTCTCCACCGAAGGCAGCCATTGTCCTCTCCATTTCAATGGTTCTGTCATCTTGAGAACGTTCTACAGTCGGAACCACACAGTACATCACCTTCAGGGATTGGTGGTGCACATCACCTTCAGGGATTGGTGGTTTCTGCTCAGCACGACTCTCTCGGGATGCATCCAAGCTGTCATGTCAACAATTTGTTCCTTTTACTGCCAAGCACAGCCCATGCATGGCTGTGCCATTGTTTAATCCTTCACCCGCTGAAGGAAACCTGCTAATTCCAGCTAWTAATAACAATGTGGCTGTGAACACCCATGTACAGGTTTCTGTGTGAATATAAATCTTCATCTCTGGGATAAATGCCCAGGAGCATAATTGCTGGGTCATACAACAAAGACATTTAGTTTTATGAGAAACTGCCAAATGGGTTTTTGGAAAGGCTGCAGTGCTGGGGATTGAACCCAGGGCCTTGTGCATGCAAGGCAGGCGCTCTACCCACTTAGCTATATCCCCAGCTGTCCCCCTATTTTAAAAATGTAGTCATGCTATACATTTCAATCTGCAACTTGCTTTTTTTCATTTTATAATAATTACAAACATTGCTCCAGTTTAAAATTTCAGTTTCTAGAAAACTTTTTATTTTCTAATTCAAAAAATAATAAGTTGATATCAATCCCCAAGTGGCTAAAAACCCTAAAAGGAAATAGCACAGGAATCAGGGGGCATAAAACTTTCTCCAGATTGCAACTTTCGCTCTACATCTAGGGTGTTATTTTATATTTGATAGAAATTGTAAATAGAAATAACACAGTCCAACACAACATATTAACTTTTTCATTTTTTTTTTTTCAGGGCTGAGATGGAACCCAGAGCCTTGAGCTCTTTACCTCTGAGCTGCACACCGGCAGTATGAACTCATTTCTAAATACATTCTTTTTAGTGGCTGCATAACTATCCATAGTTATGAATGCATCAATTCAACGATGTCATAAAAATGGTCATTTCCTTGGATCCCTTGGCGTGTGTGTGGAATTATGCTCAGAGGGAGATTGAATGCATGCACTCTGCAGTAGCTCTTCCACTGAACCCACTTCCTTTCCTTCCTTCCTTCCTTCCTTCCCCTCTCTCTTCTTTCTTACACCGATCTCTCTTCAGCAGATTAAAGAAATGGGTTTTGGGGTTCGAACTGTGTCCTCCCAGGAGATAAAGCTGTACTACTAACCCCACTACCTGGGAAGGTCCTGTGTTGGTCAGTTTTCCATCACTGTGACATAATACCTGACATAATACTCTCACATAAATAACTTGTAAGGTGGAAAGGTTTATTTTGGCTTACAGTTTGGATGCTCCCCTCTATTGTCCTTCAGCCCTGTTGCTAGTGACCAAGCCTTTAATACACGGGCTTTTGAGGCACATTCCACATCCAAACTGTAGMRGTAACTTATTTGGAAACARGTCTTGCAGATGAATCCAGGGTAAGGTGAGGTCCTCGCTGGATCAAGGTGGGCCTGCCCTTATCAACAGGCAGGAAGCCAGACCCCAGCACCACCACCCAGTCCAGTCTGAAGAAGGGCGGGGCTGTGAAGCAGGAGTTGTCTTTGGCCTCACACACACCSAAAGAGATTCCTCCCTGTACCTGGAGCCAAGAATTTGAGATATTTCCCCTGAATGTCCTCTTAGGTCCAATGTCTTCAACTATTTCTTTTACTGATGATTCCCAAAGACTTGTTCACCTTCGCTCCTTCCCCTGGGTCTCTTAGGAAACTCTTGGTGCCCTGAAGCACAGCACCTATCACCAAACCCAACACTCAAGGTAGGTCGGAAAAGCCCAGGAGTACAGCCGGGTGGCCCTCTCCTCTTCTCTGGACCTCATGCTTCTGTGAATGGGATCTATCATTACCATTGTCCCAGTTTCCTGAGAGCTTTTCACAAATTATCTTACCTCTCCTAAGCTGTTTTTGTGGAATGTGGTGTTTCACCCTAACTTCACATTTATCCCTGTGGAATTTAGTTGTTAGCTGGCCGAGGGCATTGATAGGGAGAAAATGAATGATTGATGCAAGAAGGAGGAGAGAAAGCCATTTCTAATCCACTGAGTTACCTACTGGTACTTAGGGTGGTTGATTTTGGGACCCCAGACTGGCCACACTGCGAGCAAACCGAGATGCCCAGAGGTTTCGGCTTGTGTGCCCAGAGAT